AGGCAGGTGAGACAGATAGCTTTCATGAAAATGTTCTGAGATTGTTGTGACTTGTGAGCCAGTGTCCATAATGGACTCACACTCTACATTTTCAAGGAAAACAGAAACCACACGAGGGCCTATAAGCCCAAATGGCAGTGAAAAGTTTGTATAATTATCTGGCTGTATTGTTGGTGACACTACTTTATCTTGTGCTGCAGCACTGTGAACTAGCATGCTGGGACTAAGGCCACCTGAGATTCCAGCTCCTGGGTGTCCCACAGCAGGAGCTGTTAGGAGTTTAAAGCAAAAGGTTCAACAGCCTGTTGAGCCTTAAATCCTCTTGTTTTACTCTCAACTCTGCATTCTTCTTGCGAACGAGTGCAGGATTTGGTTCATTTGGACAGCGAACAGCAATGTGATTATCCTCACGGCACCTGCAACAGAACCAGGCTTTTGGCATGCCAGGGACTTAACTAAGGTGTTTTACACCGCTGCTGCCTAAACCTATGCATTGTTTCTTTTTTCAGCTTTTGTGCTGGTTCTGCAAACTGACTGGGTTTGAGTGAGTTGTTCAAGTTGTCTAGATAACTCATTTATTCTCTCCTCAAGCTTTGCAGTGTCGTTTTGTGTGGATTTCTGGCTTGATAAGGGCTCACTGTCAGAGCTGAGTTTCTTAGGCCTTTGGTTTAACTTCTCACCCGTTTAGTTAGTTCATTCACCTGGCTTTCAAGTTTTGAAGATTCATTTTGGTTTGCAGTAGATGCTAACCCAGGCCCATGGCTGTATGGAGGCATATCAAGAACAGAATGAGCATGTGCACTTGCTTTTGCAGATCCTAAGTGTTTCTTCATTCTGTCAAGCTTAGCAGACCTTCCTCAGTTCTCAACATAAGGAGCATCTCGGGGAATGATGGTGGGTTGCTCTTCCTGTGCTCTAGCTGAAGACCAGTGATGAGGCTTTGGTCCCAACAGACTTGACAGAACTGTCTGAGTAGCTGCTCATTTGCGTACTTAGCAGAAGCTCCCTCCCTAGAAATGGCCCTTGTAAGAAGGCCGTGAAGCCTGTTTAAGAAAGTCGAGGGTTTTTCACCATGGTTCTGATTACAACTCAGAAATGCTGCATAAAGCTCCTCCCCATCTTCAACCACTCCAAAAGCAGAATCTAGTTGAGTGATATAAGTGCCAGATGGTGAGCTAACTCCAAGCATCCTAACAACATCAGCAGCAGGACTAAGTAGGCTTTCAAGTATTTTCCTTACTTTTTGTGCATCACTCATGGAGGAGTCACTGAGCAAAAGCTCAACCTGAGTGCGTCAAGGGTCATGATCAATCTCTCCATTAGGCCTGGGAGTACGGCCAGAGAAGGTGCGTACTCTGGTTTGTGTGGACATCAAACTGACTGATTCATTTTGGAAGACATGTTCAACAATTACTTTTTGAACTGAAGGTGGATTAATCATACTCTCATCAATAGTGATGGGGTTCAGACTGTTAGTGGCTCTGTAGGTTCATTACCATTACTGTCTGATGTGCTGCGGCTGGAAGGGTTATCATCCTGAGCCACAGGTAGCTGTGTGTCAGGGCTCTGAGGTGTGGCTTCATGAAATCCTTCTGTTGCACCCCAAAGGATGCTAAGGAAGTCTGCTTTGCCACTACCGCTGACAGCTTCCAGCTCTTCGAGGTATCGACGAGCTATTCCTCTCCCAACTTCTTCCTGCCCGACATCTCTTATGGTTCTGACTGTCCACATACCAGAGGGGTCAAGAGGGCTGGGGAAAGTGCCCAAAATTTGGGGACTAATCTTCGATGTGGATTTATCATTCACATATTCTATCAGGGCTCTACCCTCTGGCTGTTTTAGTTCATTAGGGATTCTTGCAACCTGAGAAATTTTTCCATTAACCTCAAAGAATCTTATTAGGTCTTCACTAGTGCAAGTATCTTCAATCCCCGTGACAAACAAAGAGCAGTGGCCGTTAACATGAAAACGGTTGCAAAGATCCATGTTGCAGTTTGCTTCAAAACAACACAAAAAGATCGTGCTGCAGGTTGGAGGATCAGGTGACTACTATTAACCAATCTCCTGGCTGGCTCGTCACAATTTTCTATGTAACTCACAGCCCTTCACCACACCTGGGTGTTCTAAAGCTTAACCGTAGTAAATGTGGAAAAAAATCACAAAAACAGTTCACACCCAGGATCGAATAGGTCCAAATGGCTGCGGGTAATCGCAAAAAATCCACTTTTTCCTTGTTTATCTCTTATTTATCTATCATTAGGTTCTTTAAAAGGAGATTGGCAGTAGGGGCTCTACTCAAGAGCTTTAGAAACTCCAACCCACAAGAAACACAGCCACACAGGTTGTTTTTTCTAGAAAAAAAGAACGTGTATTTTGCACAATATGCATTGCACATATAACTTGTAAACTTGCACCGGTGCTTTGAGTTAAAAAAAAAACAAAACAAACAGATTTTCAGTTCCTAAATAATCAAAAAGTAGTGCTTCAATATAGTTTTTTTTCCAGATACACTGTATTGATACAGTGCTCCTTATCCGAGCAATAACCAAAAAAAAGAATGAAAAGTTCCAGTTTCTTTGATATCCTTGAAAACAATTCCTACCACACCCTTTGGAGAGTATGGCACACACAGAACCCGCATCCAATTGTGAAGAGCTCATCCACGAGCAGTGATGACAGTCCAAGTGAACAAGGTGGTCCTGCGATGCCACAGATGGAGTCTCCTCTAGTGGAAGGTCAATCCAACAAAAAACAGCCAGAGGGTTTCTACCTCGCAACATGAGCCGAGGTTCGCTCGGCAAGTGTTTTTTTTTCCTCTCGGTGACGACCAAACACCTCTCTTTTTCTTCCTTCTCACAAGTGCAGAAGCTTTACTCGACCAGTAGCAACGAGACCTCGTGCTCGTTTTCAACAGCACAGCAACATGTGCAGAGGTGATCTAGACTATTTGCAGCAATATGAAACACAGTTTTACGGCAGCGAGGCGTTCAGGGAGCCCTGGAATTTGGGAACTTCTCCTGAGATGTTTCAGGAGCCTCAGAGATTAGATCCTTAAAATAACTTGGGTTACACAGTGAACTAATTTTCATGTTCAGGAAACATGTTAGAGACAATCTGAGCTTTTTGACTTGGTTCATTCTCCTGCTGGAACAAGCCGTCAGAAGATGGGCTTCAGTGTGGTCATAAAGGGATGGACATGGTCTACATTACTCAGGTAGGTATTTAAATTACTTTTTTTGGTACAAAGAGATTTTCTCCTAGGGCAGCTGTGGCTACAATGTAGCTCATCACCACCAGGGTGTGTATGTGCATGGATGAATTGCTGATTGTGTCGTAAAGCGCCTTGGGAACCAAATCAGGGGTGTCAAACATGCGGCCCATGGGCCGGATCCGGCCCGCAAGCGGGTTAAATCCGGCCCGCGAGATGGTTGTGTAAACTTTATTTTCATACTTTACAATGTAGAGTGAAAATAAACTTATCTTTGTGAGCAAGGTTCCTCTGTAACGAGTATAAATAAAACAAAGCTGCGCTCAAGGCTCACACAAGAACTTGAATCACATCCTGAAGTTGGCCGCCACTCAGGATGTGACTTCTGATATTGATGTGCTGGTGAAAGCTAAAAGATGTAAAGTAAAATGTCTGAAATATATTTGAAGTGCTGCATGAAACTGATCTAGCCTTGTGATCTGTAAGCTCTTTGAATCACTAAGGAATTTTTATTTATTTATTGATTTTTTATTTTTTTCACATTTTCAAGTACACTTCAAGTGTTGTACTTGTACTATTTTGAATACACTGTCCTCAGGCTCCAGCCTTGTTTTATATTGATTGTATTAAAACAAAGAAAACAATCTGAAGTTGTTTTTAATTTACCGGTCCGGCCCACTTGGGACTAGATTTCTCGCAATGTGGCCCCTGAGCTAAAATGAGTTTGACACCCCTGAACTAAATAAACAAATGCTATTAACAACAAATTCTGACCTAACCATCTGAGTGTTGCAGCTGAAATCCAGACCCATCAGACCAGGAAACCTTTTTGAGCCTCTCATGGTTCTGGTGATCCTGTGTGAATTGCTTCCTGTTCATTGCTTCATGAGTGGCACCCATGTGGTCTCCTGCTGCCGTAGCCCATCTGCTTCAAGTTCAACATGTTGTGATTCAGAGAAGGTATTCTGCAGGCCATTGGAGCCAGAAGTTATTTGGGCTACTGTTGCATTACTATCTTCTAGAACCATTCTGCTCATTCTCTTCTGACCTCCGACAGCAAGAAGGCATTTTCAACTGCAGCCCATCTAGCAGCATCAACCACACCACCTTCACAGTCACTTAGATCACTTTTTGTCTTATCTCTGATGCATGATTTGAAATTCAGCACATCTAGATGCCTGAATGCATTCAGTTGTTCTCATGTGACTGTTTGTGTTAACCAGAAAATGAATGAGGTGAGTGATGGCCCCCAAATATCTTTATATATCTCTTCACAGAAGCCAAATGATGCATCGCTATGGAGCAGGAAAACATTTAGACCCATTCTAAATAAACAGAAAAGCACTTTGCATGGTGTGTATACAGCTGGGCTTGCACCAAACTGAGGACAGAGAGACTAAATAAATGTTTGTTGAGCTGCATTCACACAATCATTAGTCTCTGTCTCCTTGAAGACACCTTACAGCCAGGACAGCTTTCTCTCTGGGTGCTGGATTAGTCAGAGCTGATGAACGGAAAAAAATCTGCTTATTTTCCTCAGAATGAACCAAAAAAACAAGGACCGTTGACATGTCAAACAAGTGGAACAGTGTGGGACTTCATAAAGCTGCTGCTACTTTCTGAGTTCATGTTAAATACAGTAAAAAGTTCTGGAGCATGGCTCAGTCGAAAGCTTTCGTTTTGGGACTTCCTCAAACAAACACATTTCCCCTCCTCCTTCTACACACACACACACACACACACACACACACACACACACACACACACACACATGCACACAGACTGAGTGTGCCTGTCTCACCAGCAGGATGACTAAAGGAGCTGTGAGTGTATAGATTTCAGTGTATGTGTGGTTGAGTGTGTTTATGTTAGTGTGCATGCGTGGGTGTGTGTGGGTTTCTGGGAGGATTATTCAGCTGTAACTCTCGTGCGTATGTGTGTGTGTGTGTGTGTCTGCGCTGACCGCCACAGTCAACCCCCGTCCACAAGGGAGACTTTCTCAGAATGCGGATGGCGTGAGCAGTCAGGGGAAAAGTTTCTAGCAGCTCGTTTGAGCCTCAGCTAACTCAATCCATTCGGCTCAGACTGTGTCGACCCAGAAGGGGAGAAACGGCAGCAGCTGAGCGAGACCTGGTGGGATTTGTGTCGGTGCTGATTGACTACCTGTCACTGGAGTGGATATATCAGAGCCCAGGGACTCAACAAGGCTGTTTGTAAGGTGGGTGTGCCACTGTGTGGAGTTTTGTCTGAATGTTCATGGTTTTGTGGCTGCATGTCTATTGTTGGGTAGTGATAAGGTAATGAGGATCTGGGTAAACACGGCTTTAAAAAAACTGCTTAAAACTTGTGAAATTTGTAAAACCTCAGTTAAAAATCTTACATTTTGGTTGTTAATAAAATTAAGACCTTAAAGTAAATCTGTTCACTAGACAACATTTAAGAGAGCTGATCAATACCGGAATGGTTCATCAATATGTGATGGATGAAGATGCATGAAGGAAAATTACAGCTTACAACACCTGTGGCTTTATTAAATCAGTGTTTTCTGAAGCATTAGATGAATATGAGAACAGTAATCTCCTTTTGTGCTTTCTGATGATCGAACAGGCAAAAACTCACTTGTTTCGGGGTCTGAATGCGTGTGTGCAGGATGCTGTTCTTCACAGCGACACTGGAAGGAAAGGAGAGTGAGGAAAAGATGAGCTGGAATAGATGGGTCAGAGAGTTGATAAAATGGGCATGGAGGATTGAAGATTCATTTCCACCTCTGTACCGACCACCCCCCCCCCCCCCCCCCCCCCCACACACACACACACAGAGAGCTTGAGCTTGGTGTGGTAATGAAAAAGGAAGACCTGAAAGCAAACAGGGCATGAGCTGATGTAAAATGAGGGACGATGACCCTCCTGTGCCAGGAATGTTTGCAGCACACAAGCTGTGCCGTTGGAAAGCCCAGGGATCGGGTTCCCCGTGTCAGCTGCTGCACTCAACCATTCCCTGATCTAACTTTATGATATCCGTTTATAAAGAGAGAAAAGACTGAGACTACTGCAAAACTGGACCTGAGGTTATCTTAAATAAAAGGTTTTTCTGGACAGAATGAATCAATCGACCTGGTTGCACTGAACTAACAAACAGCAAATAGGTAACATGACTCAGGTGCCTTTTATTTAAAATTTCAAAGCATTGTGGATCACAAACATGATGTCTGACCTGCTTAGATAAAATGTGGTGAAAAGGACTGAAATGGTGACCAAACAATAGGTTTTTCTATTCAAAATGTTCTCCAGAGAGAGACCGCTTTGGGGTTTTCTATTGCCAATACCGATGTCGATATGTGCTGCTGATTTCTTGGGTTGATTTCATGGCTGACATCTAGATGTTTTCCATCTTATCTGCATGCTCAAATGTCACTGACAACAATGGATGCACAACATTTCTGAATCTAATCATTTTTGACACCAAATTAATTCTGTGCTCTGCTTCAGTGTTAAGATCAAACATTTAAACAATGTTTCTCAAACAAATCAATAAACTGACCAAGTAATAAAAACACACAAAACAGGTAAACCAAATGGGAAGTCAGCTGGCAATAGTGTTAGAGCTTTGACTTGCTTTTATCACCCCAAAAGCAAAACTTGGCTATTCGCTGTGTGTTCGTCTTTTTAACATCTTAAACTAACAGCTGAAAACATTTCTCAGTGGCCTAGTGGTAGAGTGTCCGCCCTAAGACTGGGAGATCAGGGGTTCGATTCCTGGTCGGGTCATACCAAAGACTTTGAAAAAATGGGACCCAATGCCTCCCTGCTTTACTCTCAGCATTAAGGGGTTGGATTGGGGGGTTAAACCACCAAATAGTTCCCGAGCGCGGCTGTGTCTGCAGCTCACCGCTCCCCCAGGGGATGGGTCAAATGCGGAGAACAAATTTCGCACACACACCTGTGTGTGTGACAACTAATGGGACTTTAACTTTAAATGTCTCCTAGGCTTCCTTATGGGCCATTCCCATCAGTACCGGGTCGGCCCGGGCCGGGTAGCGTAGGTTGTTTACATATCTGGGTGGCCTGGTATTTTTCCGGGCCAACCAAGGCTCATTCTCAGCCCTCTTCTCGAGGGGGTCTGCTTCAGGCCGACCAGGGCCAACACACCCACTGCTGACAGCAAATTCACACCTTCCATTAGAGCAAGCCTCTGATTGGTGGGTAGAATCAGCCCACATGGGCTTAAGACAAGGATGTGTGGAATCAACCGGGCCAGGCCGGGGCCGACTGGGGCTACCCGGCCCGGGCCGACCCTGTACAGATGGGAATGGCCCATAATTGTCTATAGGAGTGATCCCTCACTAAATGAAGCTAATCAGCTGTGTTCATGATCTAAAATGTGCTTGAAGCAGACTGCAGTGCCAGGTATGTCAGCTCAATTTTTTTCTAAGTCCCTACAGAGTGGAAGTGGAATATTCTGGCCACAGAGGGTGATAGGGGTGGGGTGGCCTTTCATTAACCCTGTAAAGGCTCCTTTTACTGCATACTGGCTCAAGAAAATGATTTAAAAAATATGAAAAAGTAACTAAATATTCTTTTAATCAGATGTTTATTCAGGATCTTAAACATACATTAGAATGAAATTCTGTAGGCTGTCCGATAATGTGCCTAACTTTATACTGGGTGTACTAAAGAGGTGAATCAGCAGATGCCAACATATGCCAGCATGAACAGCTGTTTTTTAAAGGAGACCACTGAGTCCACTGATCTCAGGCTCAGGGGGAGAGAGGTCCAGAGTCTGGGGGCCACAGCAGCAGATTATGTGTCACCTTTGGTCTTTAGCCTGGTGCGCTGCACAACCAGTAGGCTTTGGTCACTGGACATCAGGGACCTGCTGGGGGTGTAGGGACTGAGAAGATCCCTCCATCATGATTCTAATCGGCAATGACTCAGACTTGATCATTTTAAACAGAGTTTCACATCTTTTGCAATCTCTGATTGCAATGTACTGTTGGGACTGTCTGTAAACAATTCTATAACTTGCTCAAATGACATTAAAGTTGAATATTGAACATGAACATCAAAGCAACATCTAGTGTGTGGAGGTTGTAGTTGCAACAATAACACAAGGTTTCCAGCCTTCGGGATACCAGATTCACTATGGATACGTGACATACAATAATCAGTATGTGTTCAGTACTTGTGTAAAATTGGATTTACATAGTATGTCTGTGTCCATTACAGTATGTTGCATAGTGCTGGAACCCAAGATTTTCATATTTATTTGTGGTTTTTGGTGGTTGAAGTTTACAATAATAGAGTGGCGGCTGGTGAAAAATATTTTTGGTGGGGCTGTGCTATTTTTTTTTAAAACAAACTTGTGCTTTCTGAGCTTTGTGCACAACTTCACTATTTCCTGAATTAAGCACAGCTCTTTTATGTCCTGTCTTACATCATTGGACAAACTGATTAATCCAGGTGTGTCTGACTATTTGCACGATGCCTTGCGGACCAAAGTTGAAAAATACTGCATTAAATTGCACATAAAATAACATGACCATAAATGGTAAATAGGCAATGCAAGAGGCAAGTAACAAAAACATTTTGTTTAATTTCAACATTTGAGTGAACACCAAAAATTATGAGCAGGTCACTGTTACAGTAATGGTAGTAAACACCACTTAGACAAAATGCCAGAAATTTACACTGTTAAATATTTCTGGAGTGTTGTGCCAAGGTCAACTTTATACAAAGATCAAGTGGATGCATTTGTGTGTGTGTGATACCTCATTTGTACAGAAATTTTGCCCTTCTGTCCTTCTGAGTGGCAAAGCTCTCGATTAGCTTTTTATTGAAGTCAGGAATGTTTGTGACAAGCTTTTTTTCCATGGAGAGCATGGCAAGAGCATTCAGCCCATCCTGTGTCATGGTGTTCCTCAGTTAATCCTCTTTAAAGTAGATAAATAAAAAAACAACAGATAAGTACATAGGAAACACTTTCATAGGAAATAATGTCATCAGTATCCTCTTACAAATGTCATATTTCCCAGTTTTTGGGACAATCAAACATTTCTGATTCTCAATCAGATATTTTTACATTTGAGGTAAAAACATCTAATTGAGAATCAGAAATGTTTTATTGTCCCAAAAGCTGGGAAATTTGTTTGCTGCAGCAGAAGTGTAACAAGTAAAATGGAATCAGATTGATGTATGTACAAATTTACATGAAATACACATTTACATGATTAAATATGTGTAATAAGTATGCGTGTTGAAATGAGTTTTTACAGTTATTGCACATTAAACATGTTATTAAACAAATGTCCCGGTTTGTGGGACAACCAAGGATTTCTGATTCTGATTGTCTTGTTCACAGAAATGTAATGTACAGCTTACCTCTGCACCCAGCTGCTGTTGTTCTCCCTGGCCAAACCTCCTCTGTTTCTTCCGTTTCCCTCGTCGAGCTGCATGGCAATGTTAGCTCTGCCTAGCATGGCTAGCTTCACCGTGTTGTCCATGTGTGCCCGGGATGACTCGTGTTTCTTCACCTTCTCAGAAAAATGTTTCATGTCTGTAACTCCTGACTCATCCATGCCTTATCTGTCCCAGCCGTTTTGAATAACAAACACGGAAAGCAAAATAACGCATTAGCGTGATTGCATCCAGCTAGCCAAGCCTTCCTGGTGTACCAATTTCGGGAGAAGCCTCGTGTGTACAGTTTACCCTTCTCCTTCTCCTGCTGGCTTATCTTTACGTCGGGCTGATCTGGCCCAAGCTCTTTGACATTAAGTTTTTCCACCATAGTTCTCCTCTCGAACGAATACTGGAGAAGAGACCGATCTGAATTCAGTGGCTGCTGAAATCCGGTATCCATGCTGGTTGTAGGCTCACACGTCCATCATGTCTATTACATCTGCATCACGACTCACGACCAAAAACGTGCTGGAGCAGTCGAGACTATCCAAGTTCTACCGAACACCAACGAAAGCCTTTGGCGGTAGGTCTATCGCCCATCATGCTTATGAAACAACATCGACGCTGATTGGATACATTCCCATTCCTACCGTTTGATTTTCTTGTCAGCAATTGGCCGGCGGGTTCCGTGCAGTTTGGGCGATTCAAAAACAGCCTACAGCCTTTCTGTCGCCTCCACCGCTCGGCAGAGAGCTTCTCATCAATATAGATGTATAAATATATGATTTGTTTTTGTTACAAAACACACAATTAACTTAGAATA